TGTTACCCCCATCACCCTTCCTCCTACGCTTGGATACTGCATCGGTACGATCGGTTTTAGAGCAGAATAACTCTCCTCCCCATCTTAGAGCAACATACGTGATTTTTTTTTTGTCTCTGAAAGCAGAAACTGGAAGGAATACGGGCGCTGAATTAGTGTGTTAGTCGTTAGAGAGGGTGGAAGCTGCCCGCAACATTAACCGGCCGCACGTCTCATTTATTTTGGATTTTGGCTGACATTTTCTCGTGGCTGTAGGTATCGGCCAGGAACATTTCTTCAAGAAGATCGAGGCGGCTCACTGCATGGCGTGCGACATGTTAATTCCTGCGCAAAACCATCTTCTCCAGAGGCACCTGCGATCCGCCGATCACAACCGAAACCGCAGGGTAAGCAACCTTCGCCTCCGAAGTGGAGCCTTTCCTCTCCGCCGAGGCGAGGGGATGTCGGTCTTGAACCCTCGAGGTTTATTTATGGCTTCAAAAAAATCCTTCTGGTCCGGTCTGTGGTGGCAGGATGAGATGAAGCCGCTGACCGGGGAACTGTAAGAGGAACAAGAGCGGATGAGAAATGGGGAGATGACAGAAAAAGTGATCTGAAAAAACAGATTTCCTTTTTTTTTTTTCTTTTCTTTTGTGCCAGGGGTTTAGCAGGGTACGTTGTCCAGGCGTACTGCGTAAACGTGCCGGCTAAATGCTTCCTCTTTCTAAATTTGTAGCGTTTGTTAGAAATTAAAATGAAAAATTGCCTTTGGGGAATTAATAAATGAGAGGTAATCGATGGTTAAATTGGCCCAGGCCGGAGAGAGGCTTTGGACATTGCAATGGAGACGGGGCGAGCGTCGGTCGGCACCGCGCATCCCTCGGAGTCGTCTTCCTCTCCTTTGTCTTCGAGTGTTTGACCTGAACGTCGCTGTCTTGGACTTGACCTTGGGATATTTGGGGGATATTCCCGCTGCTGGAGCTAAAACACGTCTTTTTTTGAGGGCTGGTGTTGGCGGAAGAGCAGCAGGCGCTGCCTTCTGTGATGTTTTCTGGGATTTTAGATCAGATTTCCCAAGCCCTGCAGAGGAAGAGGGAATAAAAAGTCTGGAGCCGAGCTCCTCGTTCGAACTCTTCCCTATTTGAGCTGACCCCGACGTTCGGTTTCTTTGCAGATGGCCGCAGAACAGTTCAAGAAAACCAGCTTACACGTCGCCAAGAGCGTCCTGAATAACAAACACATCGTAAAGATGCTGGAAAAATACCTCAAGGTGAGTGAACGAGAGAGTCGGCAACTCGTGCCGAATTCCCGGAGCAGCACGGAGCCACGTCTCGCTGTGTGCTGCGTGGCGGTGACGGGACGCCTTGCCGCATACGATGGGGAGAAGCGTAGGTTCCACTCCGCTGCCTTTTTATCTCTGAATCTTGAGTCTGGTTTCTTTTCTCTGTAGGCGGTTTACCACTTCTCGTGGTTTTTCTCTTTTTCTTTTTAATTTTTTTCTCTTTTTTTCGTTTTTATTTATTTAACTCGCAGACCGTACCTACTGTCATTCCCAGGCGTGTGTGATTTAATTACGAAACCATCCAAAACGGAAACGTAATTAAAGAAACCAAAAGAGCAAAAGGAACTCCAGTTCCCCAAAGCCACCCCTCGAGCTGTGGCCTTGGGGGGGGACACCAGATTTTCCCCTTCCCGGTGCAGGGAAGCGAGCGGGTGAGCTGGGAAATCCCAAATCCCGCTGGGATTGAATCCGACGTGGCTGGTTTCTGGCCCAGCCGAAGTCGGCCGTGCCGGGTTCCTGCCCCAGCCGCTAACCCTGCACCGGGAGGGGAAATTTTTTACCCTAAAAAGCCGAGCTCTGCGCTTCCGGCACCTCAACCAAGTGACAGAGCACCCCAAAGTGGGGGTGCATCCAAATCCCCTTGAGTCGAAACACCCTCGTTAGCCCCCACCACCCCTTTATTACGTTTTTTTTCCTCCTCTTCCCTTGGGAAGTGGCAGAGAACACCCGAGCCGATCTTCAGAGCCGAGATGGAGCACGAGGAGAGGTCAGGGTAGGGTTTGCTTAAACCTAAAAACCAGCGTTCGGAATTAACAGAAAGAAGCCCGGAAAGCAAACGCAGTCTTCAGAGCATGGCGGGGGGGTTCACCCCCTCGCGGGAGCCGTTAAGTCCAGCCTAAAGCGCCTCGCGGTATCCGTGGATCCGGAGGTGGCGTGGGTTTAACGGGCCGAGGTCCGCATCCGAGAGAGAGGAAAGGTCGCAACCTCCTCCGCCAGGCGAAGATGAAAAGAAGCGCTTTTGGCTACTTGCTTTGTTCCCCGGGAATCCGGGAACAACCCAGGATCCGGCAGGAAAATCCCTTGTTTGCAAACCCGGCAGACAAGGGCAGGCAGATGCCCACACACACACCCTCCCCCCTTACCACGGGGGAGCCGATTTATTTTAAATTTTTTTTTTTTTTCTTAAACCCCTATCCCACCGGCGTCACGGTTTTATTTTTGGTCTAAACCTGGACTGAGCTGGCTCTCATCGTGGCCAGTCTCTCTACTAAAACCTAGCAAAAAAATTAAAAGACTAAAAACTGCGACTCCAACCTCTGGGTCCGGTGAAAAGAGACTTTGAGCTGAGAGTTTGTCGGCGTAGGACGGCCGTCTCTCTCCTTAAACCGGCCTCTCATACCCGTTGAACAGGAGGGTGAGATTTAAAAAAACAAAACAAACCAAACGAGGAAAAAAAAAAAATAAAAAATCAAAAACCCTGCGGTACCCCACAGGAGAAAAGAGAGAGCGAGAGCCCTCGGGGCAGACGAGGTGCTAAACCTCTGGGATCTCTCAGAGACGTTTAAAATTAAAAAAAAAATTAAACTAAACTAAACTAAACTCCCAAAAGACTGGAACTACTCAAGTGCAACTCCGTCTACCCCTGCCAGGGTCCGCAGGCACGTCCACATCTCCTCATGATCAACGGTATCAAAGGCTGCCGGCAGATCTAAATGAATCAGCACGGGC